CCTATGCCACGTCATTTAGGCATCACACACAATTTTGTTTAGCTCGCTCTCCCGTGGATTAGTACCAACTTGGCTTCCCATTCTTTGGTACCACAGAAAGCGATGCAATGAATATTTTGGCATCTGTGGGATCTTTCTGTTTGTCTTTGGCCTCTTCAATCTTCACATCGCAGCAATGTGAAATATTAATCAATTATGAATCAATCATTTATTTTTAATCACATTCTTTAATTACACATATAGTTTAGTTCTTATAAATCACAGTAGGTTAAGAAGTGCGTATGAGATTCTGTTCAGGCTGACAAGGCATTGGCTCCGGCAGCCCTGTCTGTCAGCTAACTGGTATTCTGGCACAGCTAAGCTCCTGCAGAGCTCAGCTCACAGGCTAGATTCCTCATTTCTCCTAAAAACAAAGCTGTAGCTTATGGGTCATAGCGGCTATCGGTCACCGAGGGCTGGACAGCCTCCATGCCCTGAATGATGCTCACTTGTCAACGTTCGCCCATCTGGCTGAAATTCCCTGTTCTTGATGCAGAAGAGCTTTCCATGAAGACAAGAGAAAGTCCCCAAATGCCCCCAACCAATCAGAAAGCATAAACTCCCGTGAGAATCAATATCGCATTCCTCAGTTTGAGATCAATCTTCCTCATTCATTGTTTCTGTGCCCCATTCTGATGGTCTTCATTTACGGCTAGAAGAATGCTCTGTAAAATTAGTCCAGGGTTCTTTGTAGCAACTGAGGTGGTCTTGGCCCCATTTTACTGGCAAACTGCTAGCCATTACTAATAAACTGATTATGCTTGAAGGTTTTGCCTCAGTTCCCCTTATTTGCAGATTTTTCAATCACCACAATATGGATCCCTACGCCAAAGAGTAAGGACACTTTAGTCACTTTCTTCACCTAATTCCATATTGTTTTTTGTTTTTTGTTTTGTTTTTAGTGAGGCAATTGGGGTTAAGTGACTTGCCCAGAGTCACACAGGTAGGAAGTATTGTGTCTGAGGCCAGATTTGAACTGAGGTCCTCCTGACTCCAGGGCCAGTGCTCTATCCACTGCACCATCTAACTGCCCATACATATTGTTTTCCAGAATGGTTCTACCATTACAGCTCTACCAACGATATATTAACGGGCTGGGTATGAGGCACAAACTTCAGTTGTATCATTTTGCATTTCTTTTCTTAGGGATTTAAAGCAATCTTTCACATAGTTCTTAATAGTGTGCAATTCTTTTTAAAAGGGCTTTTATTCACATATGACTATTTAATCATCACAGTGAGAACACAAAGTAAATGCTTAATAAAGGTTATCTCTCTCTCTCTCTCTTCTCTATTTCTGTCTCCTCTCCCTCCTCTCTCTCTCTCTGTCTCTGTCTCTCTCTCAGTCTCTCTTTCTCTCCGTCTGTCTCTCTGTCTCTCTCTCTCCCTGTCTGTCTCTCTCTCAGCCTCTCTTTCATTCTCTCTGTCTCTCTCAGCCTCTCTTTCATTCTCTCTCTCTCTCTCTCTCTTTCTCTCTCTCTCTCTGAGTCTCTTTCTCTCTCTCTCTCTTCTCTATTTCTGTCTCCTCTCCCTCCTCTCTCCCTGTCTGTCTCTCTCTCAGCCTCTCTTTCATTCTCTCTCTCTGTCTCTCTCTCTCCCTGTCTGTCTCTCTCTCAGCCTCTCTTTCATTCTCTCTCTCTCTCTCTCTCTCTTTCTCTCTCTCTCTCTGAGTCTCTTTCTCTCTCTCTCTCTTCTCTATTTCTGTCTCCTCTCCCTCCTCTCTCCCTGTCTGTCTCTCTCTCAGCCTCTCTTTCATTCTCTCTCTCTGTCTCTCTCTCTCCCTGTCTGTCTCTCTCTCAACCTCCCTTTCATTCTCTCTCTCTCTCTCTCTCTCTCTCTCTCTCTCTCTCTCTCTCTCTCTCTCTCTCTTTCTCTCTCTCTGAGTCTCTTTCTCTCTCTCTCTCTCTCCAGGTTATCCATTCAAAAGTCTGCCACTTTCATGTCATCACAACCATCTCTTATCTTTTGGAATGTCCCATCTCCCTCTTTTGGCAAAGAATCCTTGCTCCTGCTGCACATGGTAACTGGCATAAAACACTTGCTAGCTTTTGTATATTACAGTCTCATATTCAGGTAACAGCCATGGTGAATTTATCCTGGTACATAGCATAAGATGAGATCTCAACCTAATTTTTGCTCAGGTGCTTTACAGTTTTCAAAGCAGATCTTGTCAAATGAGGAATCTTCCTTACCGCTCCACCCACCCACCCTCTCGGTGTGTTCCTGGGTCACTAGACTCCTTTGTTTCTGTTACTTATTGACCTCATCTGTTCCACTAATCCACTTTCCTGTTTCTTTTTTTTTTTCATATATTTTAGATTACTGATTTAGAATATAGTTTGAGATCAGATAATTCTAGGCCCCTTCACTAATACTTGTCCCCCTTATTTCTATTGAGATTCTAGACTTTTTTATTCCTCCAAATAAACTGAGTATTGGGGAGGTGGGGTACTATATTATATATGAAGAAACCTTTTGGTGGGTGTGGTTCAGCACCAAGAATTTATGTCATTTCTCACTAGATTAGCTGAACCCAAATCGAATCCTTTGCAATCCCTTACTCCTGAGATGAACATTTCGTTTTTAGACAAGGTAGGTCAGCTCCAGACGGCTTATACATCGGATAGGTATTTTACATAGGCCTTCTTTTTAATAACTTCTTATTCTTAGGACATCTCAGAACTGCTAATGATTCCTATGGATTTATTTTGTCTCCTGCTCCTTTGCTGAAGCTGCTATAGCTCTCTGGGGGTTTCTAAGCATATCATCACTGCCACATGAAAGCAGGGTTAACTGTTCACCATCTTTGTTAATGTCAGGCAGGGCAGCTAGGTGGCACCTAGTAAATCCAAGGAGCATTTATTGAGCACCAACATATCACAAGTTACTAAAAATACAAAAATGAGTCAGTTACTCCTTGCTCTGGAGTGGGGGATACTTGTAAAGAGGGACACAGGAATGTGGGAAACCTTTACAACAGGATCTAATTAAATGACAACTCTCTAAAGCTTTCTTGGTTAAAAAAGAAAAATCCACAGTTAGAGGAAAATCCCTGAAATCCTTTACCCCTAACTCCCCCTGGCTCTTGGTGCCTGACACGTGGTATACGTTAATAAGAGCTTGTGGACTGACTGACCAACTCGGTGCCCTCCAGCTGGCTTAAGTAATCTGAGGAGAGAACAAAAACGAATAGGGAGACCGATGAACACGGCTTTACCGAGAGCTTAGGACTCCCTGACTCCCCAGTGTAGTCTGTGAGAAGTGCCCGGAGCCAGCGCCCAGGGTCTGGCTAACTTAGCCAAGCGGTAATAACTGCTCAGGTTTCCATCACACAACAGGATTTACAAAAGTCAGCAGGTGATAGAGCCATGCTAGTGACCGCTCAGGGGTCAGGCGGTCGGGCAATGTGCCCCATTCGATGCCAGAGGGCTCTCAGGGTCAAGCCCTGGGCTCTCTGACTCTCAGAGAGCTGGCTGTCTCTCCCTTTGGGGGTGGCAATGCCTGGCTGGTCAGTCTTACGTTTGGTTTGTATGACCCGGATCTCAGCTCTGCCCCCTCTCCCCTGAGGTTCTTCTCTTCAACAGGCCTTAATTTCTCTGCCCTGGAGAAATTTCTGCCCGGGAGGGCCCTGCAGTCCTGATCCCTGCCTCTCTCTCCTGGGCTACAGTGAGCTCCTCCTCTCCTCCATCTGCCTGCCAGCCTGGAGAATCTTCTACCTTGGATGCCCTTGAAGTAAAAAATGTTTGAGGATGTAGATGTAACAGCCCTTGGGCTTGAAAGGAAGATCTGGCTGCCCACAAGCCAGGCTGGAAATGCCTCCAGTGTTGCTCTCCTCCAAAGGCAGAAGCCTCCGATGGGTGCATTGGAGAAACGAGGGTGTCCTGGGTGTGAGCATGCCAGAGGAGGGAGAGGAAGAGAGAGCTGGAAAGGAGACGGAGGGGGACAGGAGGCACCTGCAAAGCTGCCCTACCAAGAGGTCGCATGGAGAGCAAAAGCCTAGCCAGGGAAAGGGAGCAGGAAAGGACTGACTGGCCCCAGACCCCGGGCCATGAGGGAGGGTGGGCTGCTGTGCCAGGCACAACCGGTGATTGATTCTTCCTGCCAAGTCTTCTCTGTTTCTTCATCCCCACCACCATCACCATCATCACAGTATTTCTACAGCACTTGAAGATTTGCAAAGCCCTTTACAAATTGTATCTCATTTGATTCTTCCAACAACTCTGGGAGGGTGTTGCTCTTATCATCTCCATTTTACAGATGAGGAAACTGAGGCAGGCAGTGGTGGAGTGACTTGCCCAGGGTCAGTATCTGAGGCCACATTTGAACTCAGGTCTTCCTGACTCCACACCTAGCGCCTGTAAAGAAAAGTAGACTAGAACCCCATCCCATTACACTGGAACTAATGCTAACTGCTTATTGCTATTTTCTTTTACTGGGCTGAAGCCGCGTTATTGTTCAAAAAGTTCCTGGAAGGGCAGCTAGGGTGCAGTGGATAGAGCACCGGCCCTGAAGTCTAGAGGCCCTGAGTTCAAATCCAGCCTCAGACCAAACACTTGACACTTACTAGCTGTGTGACACTGGGCAAGTCACTTAACCCCAATTACCTAAAAATAAAAAAATTAAAAAAGAAAAAAAGAAAAAAAAAAAGAAAAAGTCCCTGGACATGCTAAATAATGGTGTGAGACTGACATGCAGTAGGGAAGAGTGCTGGATCTGGGTTCCAATTCTGTCTTTGCCACTTAATAGCTGTGCTACTTTGCGAAGGTCACTAAGTCTCCCTGGACCTCAGTTTCCCCATCTGTATGAGGAGAAGACTGGACTGAACTGGACCAGGCCTCCAGGTCCAAATGTCCGGTCCGGATCCTTCCACGCAATGCTACACCGAAGGACCTAGGTGGTGACGTCATGGCCTCTTTACGAAGCCCCACCCCCCGCACTCTCCAACCGGAAGTTGCTACTCACCCGCAGCCGGAAATGCACGTGAAAGACCCCCATCAAACATGGCCGCCGACTGCTGTTCCGGAAGCGGCCGCCGGAGGTCTCAGGGGCACCGTCCGCTCCCGACGCTCTAGTACTTCACGGCTGCTGTCCATGGTGCCCGTGTCGGCCCCCGGAACCTCCGCTTCCCGTCAGCCCCGGGCCGCCGGGATCAAGGGGAAGCCGTTGAGAGGCGGCGGGCGCCGTTTGGGGGGGGATCGACGCTCTGGACCGCTTCCGGCACGCCTCGATGGCCGCGCGGGCGGCGCTCTAGGCGGGCGACCGCGCGCTCTCATGGGTCGCCCGGGATGCTCGATGATCTGTTAGTCCGCCGGGGGCGGGGGCGGGGCCGGGGCCGGAGCCGGAGCAGTCTCGCGAGAGCCTGGAGGGGGCGGGCGCGTTGTCCCGCGGCGGACGGAGCCCGAGATGGAGCCGGAGAGTCTGGAGTCGAGGATCAGTGAGTGACCCCCCCCCCCGGGGGGGGGGGGAGCTGGGCGCGGGCCGGGCCGGAAGCGGAACCGGGGGGCGTGCCCCTCCCCCACTCCCTGGGCGAATTGGCCCCAGGACCCCCGAACCCTCTTCTGACACCCCCAGGAAGCTCCTTCTTAAAGTGCTTCCAGGCTCCCCCAAATCCTCCGTGCCAGCCCCCCAAACCTGCCCCCAGAAAAGCGCAGCACCCTCTCCTCAGTCTGCCTCCACAACGCCCCCCAAAGGTGCCCCTCATCCGTCCCCAGAAACTCGCCTCACCCCCCCAAGCCTCCCCTAGAAACTCCCGGAGAGCCCCCCAAAACTGCCTGAGACCCCAGCTCCCCACCTTAAATCTGCCCCCAGGACCTCCAAGTGCTCCCTGAAGCCACTCTCGAAACCTGAGGTCACCCCCAAATCTGCCCCCGGGAAGGCAGGCCCCCCAAATGCGCCCCCATGATTCCTACCCCGAGACCCTCAGCCTGGCCCCCCAGGAGCCCCCAAATCTGCCCCACAACCTCCTTACACATCAGCCCACCTACCTCAGTCTGCTTCCAGAAGCTCCCCAAGTTCCCTGCCTGATCCTCTAGCCCACCCTCCGGTTCTGCCCCCCAAGTCCCGCAGGAAGCCCTGTGCACTGTCTGCAGGTCCTTCTGGAGACCCCAGCCACCCTCTCAAAGGGGCCCCAGAATTTGGCTGCCCCGAAAATCTGCCTCCAAGATGCCCTAAATGCTCCCTTGTCCTCAGAAATCCCCAGGTTGCCCCCCTAAATCTACTTCCAGCACCCCATCCCCTTCCAGATACCCCCAGCTAGTAAGTACTCTACATTGGGGGGCTGCTTCCCCCCCAAAAAAAAACCTAACCCCAGGAGCCTCTGACTTCTTCCCCCAAATTCATCACTAATCCTCCCCTTGCACGAGGCTGTCCCTATAATCCACTCCCCAAATAACATTTTCTCATCCTTTCCCCCCAAATCCTCCCCAAAATGCCCATGTGACCCTCTAAATCCTGGGTGTGACCCTCTAAATCCACCCAGGCTTCCCCTTCAGACACATCACAGATCTTCCAGGGAAGAACCCTCCTGTATCTGCCCCAGACTTTCTCTGGCTGCTCCCAAAATGTTCTCATCTGCCCCCCCCTCGCCTAAATTCCTGTCCTCACCCTCTCAGGCTGCCTTCTCTAGACCCACACCCCTCCCACACCTCTAATCCCAAAATCTGCTTCCAGGACCCGCACACCCCCCAGGCTCCCTCCCAGATTCCTCCTCCATTCCTTGGGTGCCTCTCCCAATTGCCCTTACACACATACCTGGGCTTCCTCTCACCCCCACCCCCAAATGCCCCACTGCTGCACCAGCTTCCCCCAAATTCCCCTCTAAATTATTCTATGGGCCCTAGAAAACTGTAACATCTTTATCCTCACATTTCCCACCCCTCACCCTGGAAGAGCACCCGTTCTCGACAAATCTTTGTTGGCAGTGGGGAAAAGATGGATTTGGGGAGCTCATGACCCAGAGAGATCTTGGCTTGTCTGGACGAGGAGTTTTGGGAGAGACCCTATAATTTAGGAGGGTGGACCTCAGAAGTCGAGGTGTACAGGGGATGGATTGGGGAAGACCCTAAGTATTTTTTCGGGGATAGAATTTGGGGGGAGGTGGAGGCGAGGTAGATTGACAGGCAGCCGGGGATACCAAGGAAGCTGTCCGGGAGGTGGTAGATTGGGCAGAGCTGAGGTTTGGGGAAGGGCTGGGCCTATCTGGGAGTATGGGCTTGAGGACTCAGCATATGTGACCTTGCCCCTCACTGTCCCCCAGATTAGCCCAGCCACCGTCCTCACGCCTTGATCTCCACTTAGACACATTCCCCAGTGCGTGTAGCTACCCCACGTCCTCCTGTCAGCTGCTGTCCCCATTTCTGCCCCTTCACTCCAGAGCAGGTGACGCTAATCTTTGTGTCTCCTTTTCCTGCCCCACCCCCAAAACACATGCTTACAAGCCACCCTCATCAGCCCTTCTCCACGTCCGACTGGCCAAAAGACCTCCCTCCCCCTCCCCGAGGGGGGACCAGTCAATCAGGAAATGGGATCCCCCCACGTGTCTCCTCCAGAATCCTCAGTGGTCAGGGAGCTCTGGCATTTGGGCTGGGTCTGGCCCCTCCTGGGATGGATCTCCACCCATCCCCCTCCTGGGATCTGTCCCCATAGTAGAGGAGTGGGGGCTGTAAAGAAGCTACCCCTTGATTCAGACTCGCCTGAGGTCTGCTCCTGGCAAGGTCCAGACTGGAGGCCTGTGTGTCTTCTCCCACCTCGTGCCCCCTGTACCTTGTCTGGCCAAGCAGAGCCACGCCACCCCACCTCCTGCAGAGCTGGTCCAGTGTGAATGAGCCCCCACCTCAGAGCCCAGCCAGAGTGATCTGAGGGCAACAGCTCCAGTTTTTAGAGGGGCACACACCTCACAACTACCCTCCGAGGTTTTCAGGGCTGGGTCACCGGCACCATTTTATAGATGAGGGAACTGAGGCTCAGCAAGGTGGAGGGGACGAGCTCCACCGGGGGCCAGGGGTAGCTCCTGAGGCCTTGCCCTACTTTGTCCAGTTTGTGCGGCGCCTTCTTCAGATCTGTGGAGGGGCATGGCCTCCACCTGTTTTTCTGTGCCTGTCTTCCCTGCTCATTCTTGCTGAGGCTGAGCTGGTCACTGCATGGCTGACCACCTCAAGAAAATAACTTCTTCTTCTAGGCCTCACCAGCTTTGGTTCTAGGTCCTAATAACCATCCTTGAAACTCCCAAGTGTCAATCATAGCAGCCCCATGAGTCAGGCAGAGTCAGGGCTATCATCCGCGATGAGAGGTCAGGGGACTTAGCCAAGGCTTCTGCCTCTAGTGACCATTTCCCAGCTGCTTCTGCCCCCCAGGCCCTGCCGAGTGGGAGGGGAAGTGTGCCATGCGACCTGGGGCCATCCTTTGCTGCCTCTTCTTTGCATGATGGGCCCTGAGAGACCCTCACCCCTGACCTGCCCACTGCTTCTTCCCTGTGGTGCAGACCGAGCTACCAACCCCCTCAACAAAGAACTGGACTGGGACAGCATCGAGGCCTTCTGCGAGCAGCTCAACAAGGAGCTGGAAGGGTGAGCAGGGGGTCTGGTGGCGGGGGCCGGAGGAGAGCAGGGCCCGCTGCCCACTGTGGCCCCAGCCGTGTGCGGGACTGAAAGAGCCGCCCACCTTCCTCCCCACCAACCTCCCCAGGCCCGAGGAGGCGGTGGAGTCAGACGGGCAGGTCCACCCTCTGCAGGGAGCGGGCAGCCCTGAGGGCCTCCCTCTCTGTGTCTCTCTCCTCCAGGCCTCCCCTGGCCACCCGACTGCTGGCCCACAAGATCCAGTCTCCACAAGAATGGGAAGCTACCCAGGCCCTGACGGTGAGGAGCCCGACCCCTGGCCAGAGCTGAGCCAGTGAAGGGGCAGCCCAGGGTGGTCTTCTGTCAGGCAGAGGTTAGGGGCAGCCCCCAGGACGGGGATAACGAGGACGGATAGTTTCTAAGAGCTTTGTCGACGCCTTTTCTTCTGATATTGCGGTCATTGCTACACATCCCCTCTTTCCCTCTGTACGTTCCCTCATGACAAAGATTTAAAAAGAAAGAAGAGTGGAGCCACGAGGGCCGGCCCACTGGCCGCATGAGCACATCCCACCACGTATGCCACGTGCCACGCCCCAAGCCCCCTCCTCTCCCACGTTAGGACTAGGTCCTCTTTCTCTTCTCTTCTCTGGGCCCAGCTGCCCTTGGGGCTGGGAGGTCACGGGCAGAGCAGGGGCAGGAAGGCGCTGTGGGGTCTGGGATCCCAGTCCTGCGCGGTGGGGGGAGGAGGGGGCTTCTCGTGACCCTGACCCGTCTTCAGGTCCTGGAGATGTGCATGAAGAACTGTGGCAAGCAGTTCCATGATGAGGTGGGCAAATTCCGCTTCCTCAACGAGCTCATCAAGGTGGTGTCGCCAAAGGTGGGTCCCAGGAGCCCCTTCCCTGGGGATCGCGGCTCCTCCGCTTCTCCTCCATCCCGTGGGCCGAGGCCACGGGCAGGAAGCCCTGCGTCGTCCCTGGCAGGTGGGCCAGTGACCGAGAGCCACTGCTGAAACGGCGCCTTGTTTCTCTTCCTCCCTTCCCTCCCCTCCTGCCTTTGTCACTCTGTTGCCCCGATCCCACGTACTCCCTCTCTGTGCCTCCCCCGGGTCCCCCGTGCCTTCCACAAATCAACAGAGATGACTTAAGCGCCTCCGGCTCCCTCCTTTCTCTCCTCCATCTTGGGAGAAGGAATGGCCATGAGGGATGTGCCCAATCCGAGGACCAGAGGGCTCCTGAGAGTTGTGGGGGCAGAGACCAGGTCTGGGGGCCTGGGGATGGGTAAGGGGCAGAGCTGGAGGAGTCAGGGGTCTTCTCCTCCCTGGGCAGTACCTGGGCACCCGCACCCCGGACAAGGTGAAAGATAAGATTCTGGAACTGCTGTACAGCTGGACCCTGGGGCTGCCTCAGGAGGTGAAGATTGCCGAGGCCTACCAGATGCTGAAGAAGCAAGGTGAGTGCTCCTGCCTCTCCGGTGGGTGGGTGCCAGCCTTTATAGCACTTCTCTTCCCCTTCCTAGGCAGAAGAAATCTTGAGACTGATAGGTGTGGAGGGTGGGGCCTGGGGACTGCCTGGCCTGGGCCCAGTGACAGTGGCCCTGTCTCTCTGCTGCCGCTGCAGGGATTGTAAAGACTGACCCCAAGCTCCCTGAGGACAGCCCCTTTTCAGCACCCCCCACGCGGCCCAAGAACGGGATCTTTGAAGACGAGGAGAAGTCCAAGGTGAGGAGGCTGCAGTGGGCGGCAGCCCCTGCTGTGGGATGGGTTTGCCTCGACCCTCGCACCAGGTTCCCAGGGCTTGGCAGAAAGTGAAGCTGGGGCTGGAAAGCTGGGAGGGGGCCCAGCCCCATCAGCATCCACTCCCGGCCTTTCTCTCTGGCCCCTGTCCAGGACGTTCTGGATTAGAAGGTCTCGTGGCCTCGCTGAGAGGACGTGTGCGGAGAGAGGTGCTCTCCGTCTTCCCTCTTGGAAGTGCTGCAGCCCCCTCCCCAGCCGCCATCGGCTGGGTCTCCTTTTGGTCTTAAGCTTCTCTTCCAGGTCCTGCCCCTCACAACCCCCCCCCCCCCCAAATTCTGCTGTGTCTCCAGATGCTGGCCCGGCTGCTGAAGAGCTCCCACCCAGAGGACCTGCGAGCCGCCAACAAGCTCATCAAAGAGATGGTCCAGGAGGTGCCCGCTCAGTCCATGGCAGCGCCCAGGGCGGGCCCGGGCGCCAATGGGGGCGGGCACACGCTGCCTTCAGAGTCTGTGGGAGGGGGCCAGAGTAGAACTGGGGGGTGAAAGGGCTAAGGAGAGGGACTGCCCTGGGCTCCTCCCTTCATGGCTGTGTGGCCTGGGGCATGTCTCCCCGCTCTGAGCAGGATAACACTGGCTCTGCCCTCTTACAGGGTTGGGAGAATCCCCTGAGGTCATATCCAGGAAATTACAAAAGGCTGTTGTGATGTCTAGACCAAACAGGAGTATAGAGTCTACACCACAGGCCCCTGCAACAGGAACAGCCCTCGGCCACGGGGCCCCTCAAACAAAGGATGGCTCTGGGGGGAGAGCCCTTGACGACACTCACAGCTCCCCTGCTCATACACATTCACATGTGTACTCATCCTCACACAGTCGTATACCTGCACACGTGCACGCACGCGCGCACACACACACACACACACACACACACTCAGAGTCTCCCTCTCCTTCTCTCTCTCTTTCCTTCTCCTCCCTCCCTCTCTTTCTCACTCTCTCTCTTCTTCTTTTCTCTCCCCCTCTCCCCACCAGCCAGCAGAGCCTTGCCACGCTTTTCCCATCTCTACCACACACGCCTTAGCTATTTAACCATCTGTAGGAATGGTGCTTGGCATCATCTCATTTCACCCAAATTTTAAACAACAGGGAACTGAGGCCCAGAGAACATTAAAATGTGAAAAGGCCAATAGGATTTGCACCCAGGCCCTCAGGCCCTCAGGCCCTGACCTCGGCTCTCTGAACATGCCCCACCCAGATAGTGAGCCCGAGCGCAATTAGGGGCCTTCCTCGGGGGGCTCTGGAGTCCCCATGGCCCTCCACCCCTTGTCTGGCCTGTCTGCAGGATCAGAAGCGGATGGAGAAGATCTCCAAGCGGGTCAACGCCATCGAGGAAGTGAACACCAACGTGCGGCTGCTGACCGAGATGGTGACTGGCTACAGCCAGGGAGAGACCTCGGTCAGCAACGACGAGCTCATGAAGGTGAGGCCCGGCCTCTGGCGGGGCGGCGCTGGGGTAGGGGGCCCTGCTCAGTCCCTCCTTCCTCTGCCCTCTGCCCCGTCAGGAGCTCTACCAGCGCTGTGAGCGGATGAGGCCCATGCTGTTCCGGCTGGCCAGTGACACCGAGGACAATGACGAGGCCTTGGGTGAGCCCCACGCATGCACAGCTGTCAGCCGGCAGCCCCCTCCCGCCCTCTCTGGGGCTTGCAGGTTCCAGGAGCAGCCACGAGGGGGCATCCTCTTCATAGCTGCTCTGGGCTCGTGGCACCTCTAGAGGGGAGGCCTCAAAGGGGGGCTGGGGCCGGACCCCCACTGCAGGGTCAGACAGGATCGCATTTTGAGCTGATCCTTTTTTCCAGCCATGTTTTATACACCTTTTAGGGTGGAGTTAATGCTTGGTACAGGGATATAGTTGGCAAATACACAGATAATGGAGGTGTGCCCAGGCGTTGTTGACTAATAATAACCAGAAACATTTGGAGAGCCTAAGTTGTGAAGCCCCGGCCTTGGGCCTCCTCCAGGGCCGGCGTGGCAGCCTGGCTCTCCTGGCCGGGGGCCTGGCCTCTCTATGTGCTCATTCGCCTCAGCAAATGCCCAGGCACCTACTGTGTGCAGAGAATGGCACTGGGCACGGGAGGGGAGCCAGCAGTGGTCAGCCTGGATGCCTCACTTCTCTCCTTCCTCCTGCCTAATCCCAGCGGAGATATTGCAGGCAAATGACAACCTCACCCAGGTGATCAACCTCTACCAGCAGCTGGTGAAGGGAGAAGAGGTCAATGGGGACACAGCCTCCGGCCCCCTTCCGGGTAAGCAGACTGAAGGTGCTAGCTCGGGCAGGGATGGGCCGGGCAGCGTCCATCCGTCGTCTAGGGAGCGTGGAGCATCCAGGTGGCGGGGCTCGGGAACCTGAGGTCTCAGGAGTTTTACTAGGGAACAAGCATGAGGCCGTGGGGAGAGGAAGGAGCACAGCTCTCTTCCCGCTCACACTTCCCTGTTGGGGGCCCTGCTGTGTCCTCCCTCCTCCCCACAGGTAGCACCTCTGCTCTCCTGGACCTCTCCGGACTGGACATGCCTCCAGCAGGCTCAGCCAGCCCAGCCCTCCCCAGTCTTGCAAGTGGCGTGGCCAGGCCAGAGCAGCCCACCTCGCTGTCCCTGCTCGATGATGAGCTCATGTCTCTAGGTAAGGATGGTGGGGAGTGGACTTAGGGACCAGAGAAGGGGCAGGGGTGCCCCAATGCAGTTCTGGCTCTTAGATCTAAAACAGGGAGGATGGTTTCAGTAGGAAAGTGCTGTTCTAATTCCAACAGCATGACCCAGCTTCAGGTGCTGATGGGGAGGGACCAGGCCCAGGAGGGCCTGCCAGAGAGGGCCAAGAGAGGGGGTCTTCATGGAGGACCGGCCAAGGAGTGGCCCAAGCCACAGCCCCTAAGCCTAGGCTGGCAAAAGCCCCCAGGGGGGTTGAGGAGTCCACAGGAAATCTGTGTCTACTCAAGAAAGACCTCACGGGCTTAGGGGCAGCAGCAGCCAGAAGTGACTTGTTGCCTCTGAATGCCTGGTCCCTGCCTTTCTGGGATGGGGGGCTGACTGGTGGCTTGGCTAGAATCCTGACCGCCGCACCCCCACTCCCCATCGGCGAGCATTAGGCAGCAGGGACTGTGAGCTCTGAGGCCGGCCTGGTGGGAAGGAGGTCAGAGCCTGTATCACATCACCACCCAAGCCAGAGCAGGCAGGGGCAGGCCATGGGGCCGGGGTCCTGGGGAGCTTCTGCTCATGCTTAGGAACCTCTGGACTATATGGGCAACTGCATCCTTCTGGTTTCTCTCCCTGAAGCCCCTGCAGCCAAGGGGAACTCTGGGACAGAAGCTCCCGAGTGGCAGAGCAGGGCCTCAAGCTTGCCCGGTCAGGGCTGGGTCTTTGGTCCTTCTCTCTGCCCCCTCTGTGGACGGGACCCCAGGGTCTGGCCCCCCAGCCTGAGTAGGCAGGAGAAAACTCCAGGTGGAAAGTTTGTCTGGTCCAACCCTGGCAATTTACAGCTCAGGAAACCGAGGCCCAAAGAGGGAGAACCATGCTTCCTGAATACGTCCTCCAGTTAGAGTTAAGATTCCCATCCTTAGAACTGAGCAGGGCCCAGGACCCTTGCTGGGTCTGATCTGGTCCAAAGCTCCTTTCCATACTGCCCGTGGAGCAGTGGCCTCGCTGTGTCCATCCAATGAGGAGGGAGGCTGTGAACTATATCATGGCCCTCCAGGGGCAGCTCTGCTCTGAGCCAATGAGAAACTAGCCCTTCCCCTCCCCCCGCCCCCACCTTCCCACCCCAGTGCTGCATCCTTCCTGCAGGAAAAATCTTTCCTGCAGCCCAAGGCCAAACACAGCCTAGCCCCCCGGCCCCCAGCATGCTTCCCCTTCCTCTTCTGCTCACACCCCCCCCACCAGCTTTTGCTCTGAGTTGGTGATGAGTAGAAATAAAGGAAGGGGAAGGTCTGTGGTTCAGCTGGGGTCTGCGAGGCTCAGCCTGGAGGGAGGAAGCTGTGGGCACCTGCCAGCGGCTCTGCAAGGGCAGCCTGAGCTGTGGGCCCGAGGAAGGCTAGCGACCGACCGGCTGCCTCGCAAGCTAGTGTTTATTTGGTGTTTTGAGGTTTGCAAGGCATTAGACACAAAGCATTGCAAGGGTCCTCGCTTGCAACAACCCTGTGGGCTAAATGCTGTCCTTGTGCCCATTTTACAGATGAGGAAATGAAGGCACAGGGGGGTGACTCCTGGGGATATGAGTGGCTGAGAAGGGACCTTGTCCAGCAGCCTCAGCTGGATGTTCCTAGCCCCCTAACCCCACCCCCAGCATCCCTTTATGACAAGTAGTGAGCCGGAGTTCCCAGCAGAGCTGTGGCTGTGACTGGGCCCTGGGCCCTGAGAAAGGCTCTCCCACACAAAGTAACAGTGGCAAGTGTGAAGTTGTGAGACACTGCCTCTGAGGGACATGTCCAGCGCCCGTTTCGTGAGTGGTGTGGTTCAGACCAAGACACCTCAGGCTTTGGGGAACTCTTTCCTTATCTCTAAAATGGGAGGAGTACTGTGTGCTCCAGCTGCCGCAGTGGGGCTTTGGGAGCCTCAGCTTGGGTGGACCCCTCCCCCAGCCCCCTCAGTAGGCGGCTCGTTGGGGGCGCGCCTTGCCTGACCTCAAGCTGCAGCTCTGCCGGTTGGGCCTGGGGAGCCCAGCAGAAGAAGTCTTATTCCTTGGCCAGGCCCCTCCCATAATTAAAGGTGGGGGTCTCTCCCCTCCTCTGCCACCCCACTTTTGGTCCTGCAGCCCCGTCTCTGGTGGCTTGGATCAGAAGCCTCCCACGCCAAGCCCGTTCCTCCTCTTGTCCTCAGGCCTCAATGATCCTACACCTCTCGCAGCCTCAGGTCTGGACGATGGAGGATGGAATAGCTTCCAGGTAGGAGGGGAGGAGGCCTGTCCAGCCGAGGAGGGAAGCCCAGCCCCCGAGGGGGCCTCCCCTCCTCACCCCAGGCTGGCAGGCTGCGGAGGACTCCGCTTCTCCCTGTCTTCAGGCCGCCTTCCCCCAGCGTCGGGTGGAGGGTCAGGGAGCCCAGCAGCTCTCTCTGTGTTCCACATGCGCTTTGTCTTTGCCTAGCAGTCATCAGACAGCTCCGAGCTCCCCGGGGCCACTCCCAAGACTGAGAGCCAGCCCTTGCCCCCGACGCCGCCAGCGTCCTCCAGCGGGCTCGACGACCTGGACCTCTTAGGGAAGACGCTGCTGCAGCAGTCCCTGCCCCCGGCGTCTCAGCAAGTGCGGTGGTGAGGACGAGAGGGAAGAGGAGCCCACGCCACCTGCTGTGTGCTGGGGAGGGGGGAGGTGTAAAGAAGGAGAAGGTGGGAGCCCTCCTGCAGCCGGGCCCCACGCAGGAAAAGGGGCCAGTGGCGGCACGAGTGTGTGGTGCAGAGCGTGGAAGCTGCCCAGGGCCCAAGCCTCACGAGAGCCGCCTGCCTCCTCTTCCTCTGAAGGGAGAAGCAGCAGCCAGCCCCTCGGCTCACCCTGCGTGACCTCCAGAACAAGAGCAGCCCCAGTGCCCCGACGCTGCTCCCCAGCAGCTCCTGCAATCCTCCCACGCCCCCACGGCCTGCAGAGCTGGCGCATGAGCTCTCCCTGGCTAACATCACTGTGCCGCTGGAGTCCATCCGACCCAGTAAGCGAGGGTAGGGCTGGGGAGCCACAGCCTTGGGCCGGTCCCCTCCCTTGGGAGGGCCTCACGTGTCCGCCCGGGGCTCGTAAGGCCCCCGTTGGTGCATGTGCCCCTCATCGGGGTGGAGGAAGCTTGGCCCTCCCCACAGAGAGTGAAGGTTTGGGAACTTCTGCAGCGGGGCCAGGCTGGGTCCCCTCTCTGGGATGCTGCCCCTGGAGACTGGTGGCCGCCCTCCCCAGTGCCCGCCCCTTCTCTCTTCTCCCTTGCCCTCACGCCCTGGCTGCAGGCAGCATCCTGCCCGTAACTGTCTATGACCAGCATGGCTTCCGCATCCTCTTCCACTTTGCCCGGGACCCTCTGCCCGGCCGGCCTGATGTGCTGGTTGTGGTGGTTTCTATGCTGAGCACGGCCCCAAAGCCTATCCGGAACATTGTCTTTCAGTCTGCTGTCCCCAAGGTGACCTGCTCATGGGGGGACTCAAGGGTCAGGGATGGGTATGGGAGGAGGGGACCTCGGATGGTGGAAAGCTGCCCTGTCTCTGGGCCTCAGTATCCATGTGTTTGCTGAGGGTGTTGGCCCAGAGTCTCTCCCTAAAGTCTGTAGTAAGAGACAGCTTTGCAAGTCACAGGGAGGAGAACCTTATCTTGTCTCTTGCTGTGTGAGGTGGGGAGGTTTGGAAGGGAGTCGGGGCCAAGAGGCCAGTGCAGGGTGGCCTGGCCTGGGGTGGCACATGAGCAGCCCCTTAGTGGGGCCTGTGGGGATCACATCCCTCTGTCTTGTCACCATCCCTAGGTTATGAAAGTGAAGCTGCAGCCCCCCTCGGGCACTGAGCTGCCCGCCTTCAACCCCGTCTTCCACCCTGCAGCCATCACACAAGTCCTGCTGCTTGCCAACCCCCAGAAGGTAAGAGCGAGGCTTCGGGTGTGCTGGCAGTGGTCAAGGGCAGGAGACCTAACCCTGTCCCGAGATCCTGGCCTTGCCACTCAGCTGTGGGAGGCCTCAGTTTCCTCATCTGTAGAACTGGGGGGGGCGCAGTAGGAAGGCTTGCCTTCTTCCACAGCCTCTTCCCTGTGCTGAGGCCTGCAATTCTCCCTCTGCCCCCCCAGGAGAAGGTCCGTCTCCGGTACAAGCTCACCTTCACCCTGGGGGACCAGGCCTACCACGAGATGGGGGACGTGGACCAGTTCCCCCCTCCTGAGTCTTGGGGAAGCCTCTAGAAGCAGGCCGGGGAAGGGAAGGGTGCCAGAGGCTCCAAGGAGGCAGGCGAGGACTCCCATCCCATACAGCGGCCCTCCCCCCTTCTCAGGGCCCACGCTGCGCCCACTCCTGTCCTCTCTGGTTAGGACTTCGCTGGGAACCGTGTGCTCCCCGGCGGCCAGGGATGGGGGCCAGCTTCCTCCTCGGTAGCCACGCACACTGGGGTTTGGTGCTTCTCCCTGGTGTCCCTCCGCCTTCCTCTGCCTCCCTCCCCGAGCTCCACCCAGAAGGAGAGACCGAGGCCGGGGCCCCCTCGCTCCAGGACAACAGCCTCGTCTCCTTCCAGTCCATCCCTTGGCCAGGGACGTCCTGCTTCGGTGTCGAGATGTGAGAGGATGGGGCAGGGAGGTGGATGAGCGTCTGTCCCTTCTGGGCCCTGGGGCCCTCAGCACCATTGTAGCAGTCCTGGGAAGGCGCCAGGCTGACCCTGGAACTGGGTGGGGCCAGAGCCCTGCTCTCTTATGCCTTATGGGAAGGACTAGCCATAAGCCAGGGGTGGCCTTACCGGAGTAGGGATTGTTCTGCGGGACCCAGAGCCTCCCCTTCTCCCTCCCCCCTTGGGGGACACGGGGGCTAGCACCCCCCACAGGAACTGGGTTGAATTCGGGGTCTTCGCCTCCAGGTGTTTGCACTTGTCTGGTGTGGGATGTGGTTTTCTTTCCTTTCGTTTGAGTCTGTCTCTGTCCACCCACAGTCTGGGTGGAGAGTGTGGCTGGGGAAGGGAACCCCCTAAAACCCGCCTTCCTTCCTCCACCTCCCGTTTGTCTCCCTTGCTACAAGCATGGCTGAGAGGAGGTGGGCGTGGGCAGGGGCAGTCTAGGCCCAGGTCCCTGGGTGGGATGGGGAAGGAGTGGTTGGGCCCAGGTCACGCCTTGGGTGGGAGGATGGGGACGCCCAGAGTGGGGTCTACCCTGTGGGTGGGCTTGGGTTTTCCAAGCAGCTTCTCCCTTGCTGGGCTTCTCCACGTCTCTCCTCTGTCGTGGGCCTACAGGATTGCTGCCCATGTGTGGCTCGCGTGTCCACCTGTGGTCAGAGGGATGTTGTGCTGCATTGAATGTGGTGTATTTATGGGACATAATAAAGAGTTCTTTCCTGGACCCTTTTAGAGTTGCTGAGGTTGGGGAGCTCTCTGGGGGCTCTGGCACTTCCCGGGACCACCCCCGAGCCCTCCTGAGATGGGCCATGGTGCCCCTCTGTTCCAGGTGTCCGGCCTGTGGTGCCGTGGTCTCTGTAGGGGGTGGGAAGGAGCTGCCACCGCTGCTGGTGGTGAATCACCCCGGGGAGAGTCTGGGCTGTGCTGGGCACAGGAGGCCAGAATCAAAGGTGGAGTTGCAAGTAAGAAAGATCAAATGAAGGTGGTGAAGTCAGAGAAGCAAGTGGCCCCTGGAGCCAACTTGTCATGCTTCCGTGTACTTCGCTCCTTCTCCAACCTGGGCATGCCGAGCGTCTCGGGTTTCCCTTGCGTGAGATGGTTCCCGGTGGCCCCCCTCCCCCTCTTTAAAAAAAAAAAAGGGACATCCAGCTCCGATGCGTGTGCTCCAGGGGCGACCTGACCAGACTGGGGGCACTTCCCAAGAGGCCGCACTGGCACCAAAAGCTCAAGGTTGCAGTCAGCACCCAGGAAATGCCATTGGCTCAGGTTGAGCGGTGGCATGCAAAATCCTCTAGTGAAAACCACTTCATGGTGCAGTGTTTTCAGTTGTGTCTGACTCTCCGTGACCCCATTTGGGGTTTTCTTGGCAGAGACACTGGAGTGGTCTGCCATTTCCTCCTCCAGTTCATTTTACAGATGAGGAAACTGAGGCAAAGAGGGTGAGTGACTCATCCAGGGTCACACAACTAGGAAGTGTCAGAGGCTGTTTTTGAACACAGGTCTTCCTGCCTCCCCGTCTCACAAGCTTTTACACTACCTCCAAGTAGCATAGTCAGAATGTGGAATCTGTGCCCTCACTACTGTAGGAAAGGTGAACTTGGAGAACCCTCTGTTGCCCTAGTCACCTTCACCCCCAAGAAGTGGGGCATGAGGTTCCCATGGGTGGGGAACTGTCCTTTGGGTTGAACTGACAGCACCCACTTGTGATCTCATGTATCCAAATACCCTCAGGCTGTCCCCCACACCTGCAGTGTTCTTCCTCCTCACCTGGACTTATTAGAACCCCTTGCCCCCTTCAGGAGGCCTGTCCTGGTTCCCCCGTTGTGAGTGCTCCATCACTGTGTGCTCTCTGTTACCTTCTCCATGCACCACTTCCCGCCACTACACTCCAGGGACTCCACTCACGGAGCCAATCACCTCCCCAGTGAGATAACTGGGACTCAATTCAATTAATTAATTTTTCAGTGTCCTCTATTTTATAGAGTCCCATGCTCTGGAGTGAGAAAAAGAAAAAGTTTAATAAGCCACAGTCCCTGCCCTCAAGGAGCTTCCAATCTAATAATGTTATAAGACAAAAACAATAGAATACAAATAATCCAGAGGTCCAGAGGAGGAGGAAAAAAAGTGCACTTTCCTGCCTGAGAAAGACGGTCTTTGCTAGCTAGAACAATCAAGGGAGGCTTACTGGAGAAAGAATAACGTGAGCTAAACGTTGAAGGACAAGTAGAAATTCAGTAGGGGGAGCAAGGGCACTCCAGGCATCAGGCACAGCATAAGCAAAAGCAGAGAGGAGGGAAAATGCAATCTTTGATAACCAAGAGTTGTCCTGTTTGGCTGGAGCATAGGATGTGTTGAGGAGGAGGAGAGGAACTGATGCTGGAAAGGTAAGTCTGTGGAAAGCCTTGAGTTTGAGTCCTGGGAATCTGAATTCTACCTGATGGGCAGAAGGAAGGGAGGCCCTGGAGCACAGCCCAATTCTTTTCCTTTTTAAAAATATTCCTTCTCAGACTATCAGCATAATTCATCATATCAACACCAAAACTAACAGAAACCACGTGATCATCTCAATAGATGCAGAAAAGGCTTTTGACAAAATACAACACCCATTCCTATTAAAAACACTAGAGACCATAGGTATAAATGGAGTCTTCCTTAAAAATAATAAATAGCATCTGTCTAAAACCTTCAGCAAGCATAATATGTAATGGGGACAAGCTAGAAGCATTTCCAGTAAGATTGGGAGTGAAACAAGGATGTCCATCATCACCACTGTTACTCAACGTCGTACTGGAAACGTTAGCTTTAGCAATAGGAGAAGAAAAAGACATTCAAGGTATTAGAATAGGCAAAGAAGAAACAAAGCTATCACTCTTTGCAGATGACATGTTATACTTAGAGAATCAAGTGAAAAAAACTACTTGAAATAACTTTAGCAAAGTTGCAGGCTATAAAATAAACCTACATAAATCATCGGCATTTCTATATATTACCAACAAAGCCCAACAGCAGGAGATAGAAAGAGAAATTCCATTTAAACTTACTGTAGACATAAAATATTTAGGAGTCTACCTCCCGAAACAAACCCAGGAACTCTATGAACACAATTACAAAACACTTTTCATGCAAATAAAGTCAGATCTAAATAATTTGAAAAACATCAGTTGCTCATGGGTAGGCTGAGCTAATGTAATAAAAATGACAATTCTACCTAAGCTAATTATTCAGTGCCATACCAAACTACCAAAAAATTATTTTATAGAGTTAGGAAAAATAACAAAGATTCATTTGGAAGAACAAAAGGTCCAGAATATCAAGAGAACTAATGAAAAGAAATGCAGGGGAAGGCGGCCTAGCCTTTCCAGATCTTAAATTGTATTATATCATCAAAACTGCTTGGTACTGGCTAAGAAATAGAGTGGTGGATCAGTAGAATAGGTTAAATATGCAAGACACAGTAGTCAATGACTATAGTAATCTCTTATTTGATAACCCAAAGACCCCAGCTTCTGGGTTAAGAACCCACTCTTTGAAAAAAAGCTGCTGGGAAAACTGGAAAAGAGTATGGCAGAAACTAGGCATAGACTAAAATCTCACACCATATACCAAAATAAAGTCAAAATGGGCTCATGATTTAGATACAAAGGCTGATACTATAAGCAAACTGGGAGAGCAAGGAATAGTTTTCCTGTCAGATCTATGGAGGACAGAAGAATTCGTGACCAAACAGGAGACAGAGAACATTATGAAAAGCAAAATAGATAATTTTGATTACATTGAATTGAAAAGTTTTTGCACAAACAAAGCCAATGCAACTAGGATTAGAAGGAAGGTAGAAAATTGGGAAAGAATTTTTACAACCAGTCTCTCTGATAAGGGCCTCATTTCTAAAATATATAGAGAATTAATTCAAATTTATAAGAATACAAGCCATTCCCCAATTGATAAATGGTCAAAGGATAAGAACAGATAGTTCTTATCCCCAGGCAAAAAAGGAAAGGGAAAGGGAGAAGGGATGAAAGAACATGCTTTGGTTGTCATTTCTCCCTTTGAAGGTAGGCAGCAGGTTTTAACGTGGGTCCTTTAGGAATTGTGGGTCTTCATTGCCTTGATTTTTTTCTCCAAGCTCAGGAATTAGTAGGAAAGCTAAAATTCCCCACTGTTGGTATAGAGCCAGGCCTAAGCAGAACTGTGAAGTAAAGAATGATGGAATATGACACCTGGAAGGGACCAGAGGCCCATCTAGTCCAACTGTCCTATTACAGTGCTGAGGCCCAGTGAGTTAAGTGACTTGGCCAGGGTGCCACAGATAGAGAACCAGAATCCTGCGACCCATCGCGGCAGGGAAGTAACCTTTGAAAGGCTCAGACCCAAAGGGAGGATAGTAGTAAGGGGGAAGGGGAAGCAAGGTTTGAGTTCGCTGGAGCTGGGCTGGTCCTGCCCGGATGGGAAGCCCCTATTCCGGGGCCACAGTGCTACCTGCGCAAGGCTCATATTCTAAAGCTGCCTAAGGGGGCTTTCCTCCAAATGCAGAGCCTGAGACCTATGTTCACAATGACAAACCTACCCGAGCCACACAACACCCTTTCCACATCCTGTTCCTGCAACATCTCCTTTACCCTCTCAGGAGCTCTTTACTTGGACTACATGTAATTTATATATACATACACGTACATTCATGCATCTGTGACCATTTCAAAATGATTGGCTACCTTTGTAATCCTGTGTATGTTATTTGTGCATTTAAAAACCTGATTCCAAGAAGAGATCTTTGGGTTTCACCAGACTGACTGCTGGAGAGGTCCAGGACACATGAAAGGGGAAGGCCTGCTGTAGATCAGATCTCTACTAGTAAAGAACAGAGCGCTTGGCCCTGTTCACAGATGTCATCTGCTCCAAGGTCCTTCCTCCTCTGGAGAGGTGAAAGCTGATGTCTGGGACTGGCATCCTAGTCGCGGTACCAGGCTCTCATTCTGTCTGTCACTAACTGTGACCCTCCACGCTATTCCTCTCTTGGGCCTCAGTTTCCTCCAAAATTTAAGGAATTGAAGTGTATACCCTCTAATCACCCATCTAAAACCTACCTCGAGTTCTGACATTCCCTGTTCTAAGGCCCCTCCAGGCCTTGACATCCCCAGTTCTAAGACCCCTCCTAGCCTTGACATCTCCTGTTCTAAGGCCCCTCCCAGTTCTGGCATCCCCTGTTCTAAGGGTCCTCCTTAGACAGGACTGTCTGACAGGATATGGGAGCAGCAGTCGGGTTTACCTTCACCTACCGTTGTTTATTCTAGGACAGTTTTTAAGTTAATTCATCCCCGTACCTTCCCTGGACGTTGTTACTTCTCACCATAATTATCAGTAGCGGCCATGACCACAGTTAGGAAGAATTAGCACAGGTTATTTGCTCATTGGAGAAAGCTGAGGCTGGAGGAGAGAAGTCTCTGGCCCCAGGCTCTCCAAGTGTTGTGAAGCAATGAGAGGGAGAGAGCTGAGAAGCTGGTTAATGAGGTAGATAAAGAGATGATAAGGGAGAAAGGGGAGCCTTTCAAAAACAAATTTTTATTCGGAACTTAACAAACATCAAATAAAATGAGCATTTCAATATACAAGGCAGAAAGGGGGGAGATGGGGAAGGACTATATGTGAAGCTTCAATCTCTTCCCTTCTGCTTGTTTTCCCTTTTAATTGCATAACAAATCCAGCACGTCACTTTCAAAGTTGTCCGGTC